CTTGGATTCCCTGCAAAGAGGCCGATGAGGCAAGATGCGGAGACATTGCAGGAGATGATGGCAGAACTTACTTTAGAAGATGCCCTCAAAAGTTTATGCTGCAGGAGAAGGGATACATGTAGCGGACCCACCAGGTGTGGTGCTCCGCTAGTGACAGAGATGGAGATGGAGGAAGAAGGGGGAGCAAGATGGCACAACGCAGCTCCCCACGCAAGACTCCAACGCACGTACTCCAAAATGTGCAAGTGAGGAATGAGCATGAAAACAGACAATGGTTGGGGTATACCCCAGCGGACTGACGGGACTGGACTGGACTTGCTGGTACCGACAGAGGTACCGGCCTGGACTGGCCTACCCCAAATATAACACAGGCCTGTGAGAACAGGCCAAGGGGCTGGTCTCACAGGCCATCCCGAGGTCCGCTACAATACATATGGGTGGGTACATGTCGTGGGAGACGCAGCAGACTGGATATGACATGGCTGGACGAGGAACTCATGCAACGGGTGGTGAGAGTGACGACTATACTCGTCCCCACATTGGATCACAAAATGGTGATCACGGAAATTCTGCTTGTTACGCAATCGAAGAGACGACCTCCACCTGCAACGGTCCCGCATTGAATGTTCAAGGACCCGCTCCATGTTCCTCTGGCAAAACAACACTGGGAGGTCTGGAATGCCAAGCGACAACCACAAACAAGTGCGGCAGATCATCTGCACATAGGAACAATGGCGTTAACCAGGATTATGATCATGAGAGCATGGGTGAGTAGGCAAGCACATCTCTGTACAGGAGAGGAATATGCCAAAAGACCAGAAGAGCTGGGCATGTCTCCCCCAGAGGAAGATGAGGGAGACTGGTGGGCACAATGGGTCACGCTGAAGGCACAATGGGAAGAGTGGCAATACCTGGATGCTCAGAAATGGGGAATGGACTCGAAAATAAGATGGATACGACTGGCGGAAAGAATGACAGCAACCTTCTTCAACCTGGCACGGCAGAGGAAGACGGGGGCAGCGATGACCGTCCTGAATCACCCTTTCCAAACGGCGCTTGAACCGGCATATACGACGCAAGGTGTGACGGACCCGCCGGGATGGCGGTCATTCAGGATCAAGACGAAGGGATGAGGATGGGGGAGATGGAGATGGAGCTGGAAGGGATAGCGCAGTTCAAACGCAGACTCAACACGCTCGTACTCCAATCTGTGCAAATGAAGAATGGGCCACAAAACAGACTGCAGCTGGGGTATACCCCCAGCGGATTGACTGGACTGGACTGGACTGGCCTGGTACCGACTGTGGTACCGGGCAGGACTGGTCTGGACTGAATAACCACACGACCTGTGGGATCAGGCCACGGCCTGGTCCCACAGGCCGAACAGGGAAAATGGCCAGATAGGCCCTGGCTGTGGGCCACGGCAGATAGAGGCCCGCTGCACGATCCTCAGACTTGTAGTGGATTGCAAGAGCCATAAACACGCTATCCGCTAAAGCAGCGGAGCTCTGCAACAAAGAAAGCTGAGAAATCTAGGACGAGGCGCAAGCTCCATGCGGAGTCCATGTGATGCAGCCTAAGCTACATAATGTCATACAGAAAAGCAAATGTTTGATATCCACATCCTGGCTGATAGCAGAAAATGAAATGTAGCGTGGTACAATCCTAGAGTCCTAGAGGCAACTGCCTCAGTACTGAAAGGAAAAGAGAGCAATATGTCACAAGGTCATGTCGTGTCGCTAAACCACTAAGAGTGGGATGGTCTCAGAGGGGGGTGAATGCAGCCTAAGAATCGAAACTCCTAAGGGCAGTCACACAAAAAGGTGGGNCCACTAAGAGTGGGATGGTCTCAGAGGGGGGTGAATGCAGCCTAAGAATCGAAACTCCTAAGGGCAATCACACAAAAAGGTGGGATAGGTCATCAGGCTCGAGGTAGGGGAATGGTAGCGAACAAAACCAATGACCCTAACAGATAGACCATCAAGGCGGGTAATGYTCGACAAGGGTGRCACCATGCAGGGTCRACCATGAAAAGGGGGAGCCTGGAATAAGGAGATATGCCTAACTGAAGGCATGCAATGGCCGACGCTAGGGTGATGAGGCCAGTGGGTGAGGGAAACATGCACACAACTCACCGACTGGGAGAGAGAGCTAGATCTGGGAACAAGGAAGTCAAGATAACGCTACGGTCCTAATGCCTATGTGATACCAAGGGAGAGCCCAACTCAAAGAGACCAAACTAAGTGAGAACCATCATGCGATAGAGGCAAGGTAGTATACAGGGTAGGGTGGTGACGTGAAGTAGTCACGTCCAAAGTAGCTGAAGCCGATAAGGTAGTTGAAGTCATCGCAGTGGTCGATGACGTCGATGAAGTAGTAGTCGAGTCGATGTCGAAGCAGAGCCGCAAAACACTGACATCCTGAAGAAGACCTGATGATGGAGTACCTGATGGTGTGAGTCAGTGGGGAAAGATGGAGGATAAGAGTGTCCGTCATCGTAATGCGAAGGGTGACGATAAGTGCGCTGTGGACGCTCGGAGGCGACCGTCTCCGGCTGAGGAACGGCCTCAAAGGGAGCGGGCTCGTCCTCAACAATCTCCTCAGCCGGAGGAGGAGGAAGAGGGTCAGTCGGCTGAGCAGGGGCAGATATCTCAGCACGACGAGCACGATCATTTGCACGCACCAACATCCTGGCGTGCTGCAAGTGCTTGAGGGGCTCCCAAGTAACCTCCTCATCAGGGTAACCCTTCCAACGCACAAGGTACTCGATGCGTGGAAGGGTATCGTCGGTAACTCGGCGTGATACGATGTTGGAAACAACGAACTCCTTGTGACCGTCCACCATGATAGGTGGAGGGCGCTCATAAGGATGTCCGGCGAAGCGCTCGGACGGTCTGCGATAAGGACGCGGCAAGGAGACGTGGTAAACATCGTGTATGCGAGCCTATCGAAGGTAATCAGGTAGCTTCACACGGAAGCTGACCGGACTAGCGGCAATATCAAAATCGATGGCCTTAAGGATGCGGCATGGACCGAAGAAACGACCCCTGAACTTGCGAAGCATATCTGCTTCGAGCTGTAAGTGGTGTGCGTCGACGAGCACATCGTCACCGACTTTGAATGGATGATCTATTCGTGATCGATTCGCTCGTACGACCATGCGAGTCTGGGAGTCGGCTAGACTCTTATGTGCGTGCTTCATAATCGCCGCCATGTGGGCGATCCAGTCGTCAAGCGCAGGGCAACGAGTGTCTGGGCGCAACCGCGATGGTCGTAGGAAATCTGCGGGTACGCGAGGGTGGTAGCCGACGTCTCAATGGAATGGCGACATCCCCGTGGCTGGCGAAACAGCGTGGTTGTACGCAATCTCCACGTGGGCTAAGTGTAAGTCTCACTCTTGGTCATCCCTAACAAACTTTCGGAGGATGTTACCGAGAGTTTTATTGGTGACCTCAGTCTGACCATCCGTCTGAGGGTGGTAAGACGATGAGAAGTGGAGCTGGGATCTGTACACCTCGTGTAGGCGTCTCCAAAATGTGCTGGTAAAGCGCGGGTTACGGTCGGAGATGATGCTCTGAGGTAAGCCGTGATCTCTCACGACTCGGTCGAAGACGATGTCGGTGACCTCACGAGTGCTAATGCGATAGCGACACGGGACAAAATGTGCACTCTTCGTGAAGCGATCGACGACGACCAAGATAGCATCATGACCGCGCTCAGTGGGTGGGCGGAGGGGACCAATGAAATCCATCGAGATGGACTGCCAACGACCGTCGGGTATGGGTAAGGGCTGAAGTAACCCATACGGAAGGTGGTTCGCATTGTTCACCGCCTGGCAATTAGGACACTCCTGGATGTAGGCTTTGACGAAGTCCCTAGACTTCGGCTAGACGTATAGGCGGCAAACACGAGCCAACGTCTTGTGGAAGTCCATATGACCGACAACTGCTTGGTCATGGAACTCTGCTACAGCCTGAACGCGGAGCTGTCCGGTGGAGGGAATGCAGATACGTGGTTCTAGCTGACCAGATCTGCCATGCCAGTGCACGAGACCGTTCTCACCGAGGGAGTATGAGGGAACGGTCTTACCACTCCGCAGGGTCGCGTGGATGACGCGATAATCCAGGTAGTGACGGTACTGGGTGCAATATTCGTCGATCATCGACTGATCAACAGTAGTGATGGAGATGGCTGCAAGATGGATGGGTTCCTGATTGCGATCGGGACGGCGGGACAAGGCATCGACGACGGGGTTCGTTTCACCCTTGATGGGCTGAGTGGTGAAACTGAACTCGTATAAGTCACGTCATAAACGTGCCTGTCGAGGGGAGAGCTTGGGCTTCGTGAGGAAAGTCTGGACAACTGAGTTGTTCGTGCGCACCGTGAAGGGCACCCCGTGCAGATAATGACGCCAATGTTGGGTAGCATAAACTACTGAGAGAACCTCACGTTCATCGGCAGTGTAGTTTATCTCGACAGGCAGTAGCTGACGGGAGTAAAAGGCGATCGAACAATCCCCAGCACGAGCCTCGACAGTCCCATCCTCCGCGATGGTCGGGGAGTAAGTAATGGGAGGACTGTCAGTGGAGGGAAGTGGTGGTGGGATAGGCATCAATCGAGAAGCAGCGTCAGCAGGAAGGGGGGGGAAGGGAGAAACATGTTGATAAGGTGAATCAGGAGGAGAGAGAAACACCTGGGAAAGTACTGCTCCTACTGCAAAATCTGACGCATCGATGGTGACGATGAAGGGGCGATGAAAATCAGGGAGACGAAGAACCGGCGCACAAGTCACCGCCTTCTTGAGGGCGCGGAAGGCGTCCTCGCAGAGGGGTGTCCAAAACCACGGCGAGTTCTTCTGATGGAGGGTGGAGGTAAGGACGTATGAATACCTAGCGTATCCCTGGATGAAATTACTATAGTAGCTGGTGAGGCCTAGGAAACTGCGAAGCTACTTCGCAGATGTGGGGACGGGCCACTCTGCAATAGCAGTGATCTTCGTGTCGTCCATGTGGAGACCCTGGTCAGACACATGGTGTCCTAGGAAGTCCACTTTCCGCTGGGCAAAGCGGCACTTACTTAGCTTGGCATAGAAGCCAAGTCCACTTTCCGCTGGGCAAAGCGGCACTTACTGAGCTTGGCATAGAAGCCATGCTTGCGTAAGCGCTGTAGGACATCAAGGAGGTGTCTGATATGGTCTTCTAAGGTACGACTGTAGACCAAGATGTCGTCCAGGTATACGAGAATGTATTCCTCAAGGATGTCCCTGAAGATATCGTTCATCGTCGTCTGGAAGGTGGCGGGTGCATTGGTGAGGCCGAATAGCATCACCCAGATGATCACCGTGAACTCGTAATGGCCGAAGCGTGATCGGAAGGCAGTCTTCGGCTGGTCCTCTGCGGCAACGCGGATCTGGTGGTAACCGCTACGAAGATCGATCTTCGTGAAGAAGCGGTTGCCTGCCAGATGGTCAAACAACTCATCTGCGCGAGGCATGGGACAGCTGTTCTTAACCGTGTAACAGTTAAGGCCGCGATAGTCGATGCAGAGGCGGAGAGTTCCGTCCGCTTTGCGAGCAAAGAGGACAGGTGCACCCCAAGGGGAGTTACTGGGTTTAATGAAACCCAGTCGAAGGAGCTCCTCAAGCTGACGCTTGAGTTCCGTCGCCTCTAGAATCGAGAGTCGGTACGATGCCTGATGGTGAACACGATAGTCCGGCACGAGCTGAATAGAATGCTCAACACCGCGCATCGGGGGAATCCCACGGTATGAGAAATACGGGGGAAGACGTCGCGGTACTCTCGAATCAGGTCGTGAACGGCGGGCTCTAAGTCTGACGTGAACCGTGTGAGTTCCTCAACGTCGGCGTCAGCACGAGACATATGAGTGGACTCGACAGTCGACGGCGCAGAGGCCTGGGACGTGGAGGGGGTATCTGCAGGCTGATGGGTGGATGTAGAGATAGGAGCCACGAAGATGGAGGAAGGGTCCAGGGGATCGGGCTCCAAAGAGATGAGCTCAACCTCGGGACAAAGTGGATCATAGCGAAGAAGATCCATGATGTTCACTAAGTAGAACGTGGCGTCCTCCTGTTGTATGAAGTGAGCAAACTGACAAGGGGAAGTGAAGGCGATGTCGGGGTGAGACCCTGAGGGACGAGGGTCCCGGGGAGGTAGGTCAGGAGGAGTGTCCCCCGTGGTTCCAATGAAGGGGACGCGATGGGTCTGACCACACTTCGTTTTGAGAACGAGTGTCTCGGTCGCCCATTCGACCTCTGTGCTACGGAACCAGCGAGACCAGGGAGTGTCAAGGATAAAGTCGTACCCAGTCTCCAGCACGTCGAAGTATGCAGAGGAATGGTAGCGCCGAGGCGCCTGGGTACCATTCGGTGGCTGGAGGGTGAGGGAGAAGTGGAGGTCGGGGACCATCTGATCGAAGAAGCGCTGCGTCTTGTTATCTCCGAGGGTAACGGAGATAGGAGAGCGAGACCCAGAGGTAGCTAGGCGAACTTCCTCAACCACTCGAGGGTGAATAAAATCTTCCTGCGAGCCAGAGTCCCATAAAGCGCGGTACACCCTCGTAGATGTCCCTAGGCGAATAGGGATGATCGGTAGGGTGCGATCAGGGTCAGAGCTATGAATCCCCCCGACGGCGGACAGGCGCGGCCAAGTCCGAGGCCGCGGCCAGTCCGCGAAGCCCGCGCAGACGCCCGGATTCGCGGACACGTGGCAGCCGCAGGGGAGGGGGTTTCGCGATTCTGGCGGTGCCACGTGGCGGCCCATCCCCTGCCCCACC